TCTTATCAAAAAAACTACGATAAACTTCTTTTATCAAGAAAATTACGATAATCTTTTATCAAAAAAAAAAAACTACGATAAACTTCTTTTATCAAAAAAACTACGATAACCATTTATCAAAAAAACTACGATAAACTTTTTTTATCAAAAAAATTACGATAATCTTTTATCAAAAAAACTACGATAAACTTTTATCAAATTTTATCGACAAAAAAAAAAGGGAAAAAGAACTATAATAAACTTATCATTGAATGAAAATAATGAATACTTCAATTATAAAACTTTTTCCCCCCCCACCCCAATATGTCAACTGAAAAAAAATATTTTATGATTTGTTATCAAATAAAAACGAAAAAAACTTTTTGCGCCCTTATATGATTAATTTTACGTGATTTCCTTCTTTACGTATTGCACTTTTTCACGTACTTCACGTAATTCCACGTAATTCACTTTATTTGATAACAGATCATAAAAAAATATTCATTTTCACGTTTTACGTATTTCATTTTTTTCTTTCAATCCCTATCACGTCAGATTGCAAAAAAAAAAAAAATTAATCCGTTTTTCTTTTATTTGGTTCATTTCTGTTATTTTTTGCCTCTTTTTTTTCATGTTCTTTTTCTTTTTTCTAGTTTTACGTGATCTAACTCTACCGTTCTAGTTTTACGTGATCTAACTCTACCGTTCTAGTTTTACGTGATCTAAACTTTACTATTCTAGTTTTACGTGATCTAACCTTACTGTTATGCAATTTATTTATTTTTTTTTTACTTTTCAACGTGGTTTGCTTTTTCTTTTTTAGTTTACGTCATCGAATTTTTGTCATTTTACGTGAAGCATTTTTTTTTTCACTGTTCCATATGATTACTTTTATTTATACTCATCTAATATTTTACTCTTTCACGTGATCTGCTAGAATTATTCCATACAACAAATATTCTCACATTTTCTGTAATTTTTTTTTTTAAAAAAAGTTTGTCTTTTATTTCATCGGTAACATCCAGAATGATTAATTAGCTTCCGGTAAACTTTGCTTTTTTTTTGTTTTGCCATATATCAATTACTTCAAATTTTAACACTTTTGAAAATATTTAATTTGACAAAAAAATAATTGACAAATATTTATTGAAAGTTATCGAATAATTTTATTTAATTTAACATTTACATTTCAAATTGATAAATTAATCCATTAATAATATATTTGCTCATTTTTTATTCATTCATATATTCTCATTATCAATATACGATACGATATTATTATTATTGATTAAATCAATAAATAATCCCTTCTTTTTTAATTTCAAATTAAAATTTTAATTTTTTGCTTTTTTTTCTTTTGTTACTAATTTTTCTCATTTACAAATTTCCAGAAAAAAAAAAGTGTCATTATGATGTCATCCATTTATATATAATTCGTTCAGATTGCATGACACAAAGAGAAATGAATGTAAAAAAAAAAGAAGAGGTAAATTATTGACAAATTTAAGATGCGTTTTTAAAATTTCAATCAATTCGTAAATCTTACTGTCACATTTTTT